ATATATATATACACCTTACCTTACACACTTAAAGTACAGCTTTAAGTGTATGGCACTTAAACTATGATTTTTTTTATTATTTTTGGCAACAGAGCTTCGGAAACCAGTGACAGGAGACCAATCATTGGCGGAGCCTCATAATTGTTTCGTGCTCACTGTAATTATTTGCCTTAACTTTTGCAGCTCAACTTAAAAAACCCTGATTGGAGAAAAATATGCAAGCTTTAAAACCAAATTAATTACAAATATTTTGCTGATAAATTAACAAAACTATGTCGTTAAAATCTCAAATGTTGAGTATTTAAAATAATTTTTTTTGTTTGTGAATAATTCTCAGGGTTTGGGGGCAATAAATTTTTTAAGAGATGTTCAGACGTTTTAAAAAATGATATTTTAATTAACATTTAATGGTAACTATGTATTTTCATTCTAATACACAATACACAAAAACTACACACGCTTTAAGGATAAGGAAACACATTTTTTCGTGTTACTGTGTTTCGTGTCGTGATAAAAATGTAAAGCCTCAAACATCCATAAAAAATCTTTGTTCAAATTCAAGAGAATAAGCTATTATTTGTTTATCTGTTAACAGATGCGGGGCGCATGCAGTCTGGAAAAATGCGTGAATGAAAAAATATCTAAGAGCAGATGTTTAGAATTTCCCATAAACGTGATGGGGATGAAACAAATTCAAATATTAAAATAAAATATATTCCTCGTCATCAAGTACATGCCATTGGGCATCCATTACTTATTTAATATGTTGTTTAAATTTTTAATTTGTTTGCTTGTTGTTTCTTCTTCATACGGTATTGAGTACCCTTCAACAAATGTCTGTGAGTATAATCTAGGTGCTGTTTAGATTTTTATATGAACTTGTATTGATATTAAAAGATAAACTGCTTTTTTATTTCAAAATGTATGCACCACGATAAATAATTATGAAGCATAATGATAATTATGATGCAAAATAACAATCATGAAGCATAATTAACTTCTCTTTCACCCATGTTTAAATAATTAAGAGCTTGAGGAGCTAATGTTTGACCCATGAGTTGAAACCAAGATCTTAACAAAACTTTTTCATTTCCTCTTTAGAAAGTGGGAGCTTGTTGCAGTAATTGTTAGGCTGTAAATCCGTTCATTAAAGGCATTTATAAGCCTTCTACAATTAAAATTAAAAACAAGTGAAAGGTGAAGAAATTAATGGTTTAGCCAGGAATTGTATCCAAGATCTTAACAACGCTATTTTTTCCTGTTTAGAAAATGGGAGCTTGAGGCATTAATAGTTATAGCCTTTAATTCATTATTTTAAGCGATTATAATTCTCTACAATAACAATTAAAATAAGTGGAAGCTGAAGAAACTAATAGTTAATCCAAGAATTGTATCCAAGATCTTAACAGCACTTTTTCATTTCCTCTTTAGAAATTGAGAGCTTGTGTCATTAATGATTAGCCTGTGAATCCGTTAATTCCAGGCGTTTATAAGCCTTCTACAATTAAATTTAAAAACAAGTGAAATGTGAAGAAATTAATGGTTTACCCAGGAATTGTATCCAAGATCTTAACAACACTCTTTTTTCCTGTTTAGAAAATGGGAGCTTGAGGCATTAATAGTTATAGCCTTTAATTCGTTATTTTAAGAGATTATAATTCTCTACAATAACAATTAAAATAAGTGGAAGCTGAAGAAACTAATAGTTAATCCAAGAATTGTATCCAAGATCTTAACAGCACTTTTTCATTTCCTCTTTAGAAATTGAGAGCTTGTGTCATTAATGATTAGCCTGTGAATCCGTTAATTCAAGGCGTTTATAAGCCTTCTACAATTAAAACTAAAAACAAGTGAAAGGTGAAGAAATTAATGGTTTACCCAGGAATTGCATCCAAGATCTTAACAACAATTTTTCATTTCTTTTTAGAAAGTGGACGAGACAGCTGTATGGTGTTGCAAGAACATTCGATGCAATGGATCATTTAAAATGTTGCATCTAATACTGACTTGCCCTTAACAAATCAATTGGGAGATACATTTTAATTTTGTTTTGCTGTTAAACGAAAATCGTCTGCAAGAAACAATATTTATTATTCTTTCATTAGTTTCTTTAAATGCGAACAGAAACTCGTATATTTGTTACGATTTTTAAATATAATATTTAGCAATTCTTATTATTTGCTGAATTATTATTGTTATTAATAAATTTAATTATTATTATTAATAAGAAAGCTATCAAACAGAAGGGTGGGCAATGTCATTTCATGAGTTGGCGATATTGATATACGTTTGCGCTAGGAGCTTGGCATCTTTTTTGGCGTGCACTTAAACGTAAACATTCTCTTTTCATAAAGATAATGGTTTTTTCTTGACTTGCAACAGAGTATAAAGTAATAATACTTTATTTACTTCCCATTGGAGATGCTCATTGGGATATTTGTGACGTTCTGAGGATTATCCAGAGACACAGATTTTAAATCTCTGACGAGACGACGTTTTCCCCGCTCTGATAGCCCGAAGACCATCATGTGAAGTCGATCACTTTAAGTTATACCAATTTAAATTTAACGGATACCACGTTTCCTTGATCCCTTCGCAGATTGATCAATGTGTTCACTCACCCGCTAGGTTCTTGATTTCGGTGTTTTTCTGCTAATCGTGCTTAACGATGGGAAATTTAAATTTAAAATAAAGTCTATTTACCTATCTAATTTTTCTCTTCGTAATACGATTTCTCATAAAAATTCGCTCTGATGCAAATCAGTCAGTGTACGCAGAGTCATATAAAAAAATACAAACGTCGTACCCAACTTACTTAAAAGTAATAAAGCAAATAAAANCGCTTCGTAATACTACTTCTCGTAAAAATTCGCTCTGATGCAAATCAGTCAGTGTACGCAGAGTCATATAAAAAAATACAAACGTCGTACCCAACTTACTTAAAAGTAATAAAGCAAATAAAACATTTAATTTTTATGTTTTTTCTCTGAGAAATAAGAATTATATTTCTCAGAAAAAATGTGCATAAAATGACAGATTTTTAAGTGAATTTATGAAACTGTATATTTTCAACATCAAACTAGTCTAAATGTTAGTTTAAAATACAATTATTTCATTTAAACTAAGATGTGGTGGAATAAAAATATCAAACAACAAATAAACTGTAACCTGCACATAAATAAACTGTCACATAGATAGTTTGGTTTACTATCAGTTTTATTTTTTTAACCCTTATAGCAGCCATCTACATATATGTACATTCATATCTCTACATATCATACATCTACATATGTATACATATATGACAAGCCGAGTTTGAAGAGGTGAATTTCATATGACTCTTGTACGCAAAAAATATAATCTTTAACAACGCATACAATTTTTATTTTTTACTTAAACGAAGAGTTTGGGAAATGCTATTAAAATGCATATTTTCAAATTCTCCAGAAGAAAGTTTTATCCCTATAAACAAACACGAATTTTTAAAACATAATTAACTGGTTTTACGTTCATATCAGCGGTTGGGAAAAACACGGAAAAATTTCTTTACTTAGTAAATGATCTTTCTTTTATGTTTTTACATGGCAAAACTGTTGTCACAGTTTGAAAGATCACGCTTAACTCTTTTAGAAATGGTGTCTTTTTCATCCTTCTCAAAACTGCTTCGCCCACGTCTGCTTTTGCCCTGACATTGTTTCCTTTTTACCATGCCAAATTACTACTGTGGCCTGGTTTCAAAGTTAATGGTATTTAAAGGTAGAAATAATTTAATAACTTCCTCTCTTTATTTCGGTGGATAATGTATGGGTAAAAAAAGCACATCATTTCTTTGTCTCGACGTTCTTTAAATATTTACCTATTGAATAATGAAAAAAAAAGAGTTTAAGCTAAAAAAATATCTAATATAAAAAGAGTTTCCCCTTTTTTGTTTCTTTTAAAAAATTATTTTGAGTAAGATTTAATTCTTTTGAGCTTTTTTACTTCTTACACGTAGATATATTATGGTTACTTGGAATAGGGTTTAATGACCATTGTTAGTATGTAAAACATTCTGAAAATAATAAATGTTCTAATGTTATCTTTTCAGATGAGTGCGTACGACTGACTTGTAGAAATGGCGGAATGTGCGTTAATGGTAGAAATGGTGCCCAATGTGTATGCCGTCCCCCATATGTGGGAACATATTGTGAAACAGGTAAATATACAGTCGCGTTTAAATGAAACTGATAAAGTTTTAAATGAATGTGCTAATTCCCACTGCTCTTTCTGATTTAAACGTAAAGTAACAAAAGAGAAAAAAAATTACCTTGATCGTTTATATATTTCAAGCCACCATCACGAGTTATTCTGTAAAGAAAATATATCAATAAGAAACTTTCGACTACCAAATTTTAAAATGGCCGCAACAAAAGTCTACCTATTTTTGCTTTTTTCTCCAAAAAGTTCATATTTAGCAGGATTTACTTCGTTTTGTATTACATGTGAATATACACCAAAGAGCCATTACAATAGGACCACCCTGCTAATAACCTGTAGGACTACCTTTAGCCCTCAAAACTGCTAGCACCCGCAGTGGCATTGATTCCACAAGGTGCTGATAGGTAGTCTGAGGTATCTGGTACCAAGCGCTCACCAACTGGTCTTGCAATTCCCTCACATTGCGAGGGGGTAGCGTGGCAGCACGAATTTGGTTTTCCAAGTAGGACCACAAATACTCCATTGGATAAAGGTCAGGTGAATTTGGGGGACAAGACATGACTTGAAAGTCACTGGAATGTTCCTCGAACCAATCCATGACGATTCGACCCTTATGACATGGTGCATTATTCTGTTGGTAAACACCATCCCCCGCAGGAAAAACTGTTGCCATGAATGGGTGAAGCTGATCTGCAACTATGTTCAAGTAGCTTACAGACGTCAGGGATTGTTCTATGAGGATTATGGGTCCCAATGTGACCCATGAAAACATTGTTCCTGGGAGAGAAACCATGAAAACCTGGGCGAGCCCATTGTTATAGATGGAGGATGGTCATAATGTAATTGCTCTTCGGTGTATTATGGTTTCTTGGAATAAGTCTTAATGTTCATTTTTATTATGTAAAACTTTTTGAAAATAATAAATGTTCCAATGATATCTTTTCAGATCCGTGCGCACATCTGCCTTGTAGAAATGACGGAATGTGCGTGGTCGGTAGAAATGGTGCCCAATGTGTATGCCGTCCCCCATATGTGGGAAACAATTGTGAAACAGGTAAATATATATTCTCATTTCAACGAAACTGATAAGATAGTTAACAAAATATGAGAATTCCCACTGCTTTTTCGGGTTTTAAACGTGCAATAAAAAAAAAATAAAAAAATTACCTTGATCGTTTATTTATTTCGAACCACCTTTATGAGTTATTCGGTAAAGAAAATACTTCAATAAGAAACTTCTTACTAAAAAACGGCTAAATGATATCTACAAAATTTTACCTAATTTTTTTACTTTCAAAAAATTATGTATTAAGCAGGATTTACGTCTTTCCGTTTTACTTCAAAATAGAGTAAACTAACCAGTGAAGGAACACTGAAGCGTAGCTCGCCTTTAAAAAAATCGTAAAAATTTCAAAATTTGTAATTTTAGCTAAATGACGGTGTATATTTGTTATTAAAAGCAAATTATGTAAAAAAATTTCAGTTAACTTTCATAACATTGTTTTAAGTTTTGGGTGGTTCAAATAATAAGTAAAAAGATAACCAAATGAAGGGACAGTTCTTACCAGCGAATAAACACTAAATTTTACAGTGAATGAACACTTAATTTTGAGAATGTTTGATGCTCGTTTGGAATCCATAGGCCACACAAATGTCTAAAATAAAATTTTGCTTGGAATAGCATCATATAACCACAGTTAATGGGGAAAATTTAACTTTTTTTTTAGTCACGGAATGGAAAGTAAAATATGGTTAAATACAGAACTAAAAAAAATTGTTTTTCATTCCTTTTCTCACAGTTTAATCGTCCGATTTAAATAATGAATGTTTATCATTATGTAATCCGATGATGTTTTTATTATTATTATATCACTTTTTTGTTTACTCTTTTCCCCCATATTTCTTGAAGCTTTTTTTTAATTTTTTTAAGTATTTTTTTCTTTTCGTTATACCTTCTGCTTTAACTTTTTTCCCAGCTCTTCAGTCTCTTTAAATTTTCGTTCTTTTTCTGAAGTTAATGCAAAAAGTAATTTATTTATTTTTCTTTTGATTTGACGTTCCTTTTTTCCCACATTTTTAGATAATGTAAATGTATCTTCGAAATTTCTTTTGATTTTCCAGTACCTTTTCCAGAATTCCTCACTGGATAATAAATGAGAAAAAGGAGTTTCGAAGTTTGAGTAAAATCCATCTCTCATTGACTTATATCTAGTGGGTCTTCAGCAGTACTTACCATTTACTTATGGAACCAATTGTTTTTGCAACTAACAATGCCTCAAGAGGATTTATCTCAAAATCAGTTTTCAAGATTTTTCCGTTATATCAGAGTTAGTTGTATCAGCTTCAGAGCCAATATTTGACTAAACTAAATGTTCTTTTTGCAATAAATTCTTCCATATTGAGAAAAGCACAGGCTATTGGATATTTTGAAGATCGAACTCTTCTGTCAATGTTCCTTTAAAAAATTGCAACATAACTTGCGAGATTTAATTCTCAAGCTTCTGAAGAAATAGTGCTTCGTTACTCTCGAAGTATGTGTTTTGTTGAAAAGCTGTCTTGCTCATTACCTCTTTGTGTTTGTCTTGCATGCATTTGTTAAAGTCAACGTTTTCTACGTCGAATGGAAAAATACCACATTTCATGCAAGTATTTCAACTTCATTAGTTGATGCCTCAAAATCTTATTTAAAAATGTGAAATTCTCTCGTCATATTGCCTAACAATTCTTTTGATTTTAAGGTCTAACGGGATATTTTCATGAATTAGGTAGAAAGATGAACCAGAAAATTTGTTTTGATGAACAAAACTTGATCAGTTTCAAATTGATATGAGATTTATACCTATCCAGAAGAAGTAAAATAGGAAATTTGAAAACATTTTCAATTAGCCATGGGTAGAAACATTTGCAATATATTTGTAAAATGCTGCTGCGGTCATCGACTCACTTCATGAATCGCTTTTTCCAATGAAATATATAGCAGGTACAGATTCTGTAATACCTCAAAGAATTCTTCAATTAGGAAAAACTACCATGGAGGTACTTTTTTTACATTAGCTAAAATGTTGACCAAAACTGTTGTTTTTTCTTTTCCTTTCCTAGGTACGTTTCGATCGCATTGTAAATGCAATCACTTTCTAAAAGGATATGCAAGGGCTACTTCCCTCCCAAAGATTCCTCTGAAGTTCTTCAAACCAGTATTTTGAATATTATTTTCTCTAAGGAAAGTTTTGCCTTTTGAAATTATCTTCGCATTGCACTGAGTTGTCGGTGGATGTCATCTTAAAAAACACTTCACCCATTTTTCACTTGGATGATTGTCTTTAAATGGATTTTTCCTACCAGTTTCGGTCATGACGTTAAAGACCGCAAGAGGATAATAATTTAGCTAATTATTAGCACAAAAGCCAGCAAATAAATGTTCTATTTAAGCTTTTATTATTATATTTAGTTAGGTTTCGATCAGTAAACATAATTTATTAAGCTGTCTAACGTATGATGTAACTAACCACTACATTTATAAGGATAAATAATAAATAAATTATAATTCTTTAAATGAATTTAGCAATTAAATTAGCATTTTGAAAGAAATTGTTTTGGGAACTATTCTTACAACATTTAACTGAATTTTAGGTGTCCTCTATATCACAGAACTACTAATTATCCATGTAAAAACATATTTCACACTAATTGTTCATTCACTGGGAAATCTATTCCCAGTGAAGGAACATGCCTGTTCCTTCACTGGTTAGAAGTTGTTTTTTGCATTTTCAACGTAATTTTGATGTATAATATGACTAAATTTACAAGAAAATTAAAATTCTTTTATTTTCATAAACTTCTAAAAAATCCCAGTAAAGGAACACTTGTTCATTCATTGGTTTATCATCGTTTGGTAATCCAGTTAATAAACACCTCTAATCTCTATACTTGCTTATGTTTTGATGCTTAAAATAAATGAAACGTAACTTCAATAACCATATTTTGAATTCTCTTTTTCGCAAAAAGAAAAAAAAAGGATTTTTTTATTCAATTAATTGTACTTTAAACGGATAATTACAAACACTGACCTCACAATTTTGTCAAAGAAACAAGGTGTTGAAAAGCTACTAAGAAATTCAAAAACACTTTCAGAGAAAACTATATGATAAGATCTCCCAATGCAGTGCTAGATGACTTTCTATTGTTAGGAACTAAGCTACTGTTACCAATCAATCTAAGTAAAAACATTTAAAATCCCTTTTTTTAAAAATAACTATGAAATGTTCCTTCACTGGTTGGTTTACCCTATATTATGGTTCCTTGGAATAATGTTTAATGTTCATTTTTATTACGTAAAACATTCTGAAAATAATAAATGTTCTAATGTTATCTTTTCAGATCCGTGTGCAGGACTGCCTTGTAGAAATGAAGGAATGTGCGTTGTCGGTAGAAATGGTGCTCAATGTATGTGCCGACCCCCATATGAGGGAAAATATTGTGAAAGAGGTAAATATACAGTCTTGTTTTAATGAAGCTTATAAGGTATTAATTGAGTATGATAATTTCCACTGCTCTTTTGGGCTTTAAATATGGAAAAAAAATAATCTTGATCATTTATATATTTCCATCCACCTTTATTAGTTATTATGCAAAGAAAATACATCAATAGGAAATTTCTTACTAAAAAACGTTCAAATGGTATTTCCAAAATTTTACCTAAACTTTTTTTCTTTCAAAAAGTATGTATTAAGCAAGATTTACAACTTTCCGTCTAACATTTGAAAATATTATGATTTCTTGAAATAATGTTTAATGTTCATTTTCATTATGTAAAGCACTCTGAAAATGTAAATGTTCGAATATTTCTTTTCAGATCCGTGTGCACCACTGCCTTGTAGAAATGGCGGAATGTGCGTTGTCGGTAGAAATGGTGCCCAATGTGTGTGCCGTCCCCCATATGAGGGGAAGTATTGTGAAACAGGTAAATATACAGTCGCGTTTTAATGAAACTGATAAGGTTTAAACTGAATATGAGAATTCTCACTGGTCTTTTGGGTTTCAAAAATGAAATAACAAAAAAAAAATACCTCGATCGTTTGTATACACTGCTCAAAACAATGAAAGGATATTCTAAGTCTTGTGCAAAAAAATGGTATAATCAAAGTTTTTTTGCGTAAATAATGTAAAACATTTTGAGAAAAATAAATGATCCAATGTTATCCGTGCGCACATCTGCCTTGTAGAAACGGCGGAGTGTGCGTTGTCGTGAGACATGATGCCCAATGTGTATGCCGACCCCCATATGTGGGAAAATAATGCAAAATAGGTAAATATACAGTCACGTTTCAAGGAGACTGATAAGATTTTTAACAGAATATGAGAATTCCCACTGCTTTTTGGAATTTTATATATGAAATAAAAAAAGAAAAAAAATTACCTTGATTGTTTATATATTTCAATCCAACTTTATTAGTTATTATGCAGTGAAAATATGTCAATAAGAAACCTATTACTAAAAAACGTTAAAATGGTATCTGCAAAATTTAATTCTTGTAATTTTTTCTTATTTTTCTAATTTTTTTTTAAAATTCTATTTATTTTCTTTCAAAAATAATGTATCAAGCAAGCTTTACTTCTTTCCGTCTAACATGTGAATATATTACGGTTCCTTGGAAAAAATTTTAATGGTAATTTTTATTATGTAAAACATTCTGAAAATACTAAATGGTTCAATTTTATCCCTTTAAATCCATGCGCAGGACTGCCTTGTAGAAATGGCGGAATGAGCGTTGTCGGTAGAAATGGTGCCCAATAAATTACCAATGGGAACGAGAGATAGAGGTAGGCCTAAGATTAAATGGTTTGACTGTGTGAAAGAAGATTTTAAAATACTAAGAATTACTAACTGGAAAACAATCGCAATGAAAAGAGCAGAATGGAGAAAGGCTCTGGCCCACAAAGGACTGTCACTCCAAAATAAGAAGAAGATTTACTTCTTTCGGTCCTACTTATGAATATATTACGGTTCCTTGAAATAGGGTTTAATGTTCATTGTTATAATGTTAATCATTTTGAAAATAATGAACGCACAAGTGTTTTTTTTATTTTTCAGATACGGATCTATGTAGAAATATTGATTGCAGAAATGGTGGAATTTGCATAAGCACTAAGAGTGGGGCTGAATGTATATGCCGTTTTCCTTATGAGGGAAAATTATGCGAAACAAGTAAATATACGAACTTCTTATTATTTAAACTCAATGTAGGAGTTACCTCTTTGCTGTTTACGGGTTAGGAAATATGGTTACGAAAAAAATTGTCTCAATATTTTTAATAATTTTTTTATGTTAAATTGTAAAGAAAATACGTCAATAAAATAACTCTGGCAAAAAAGATGCTAAAGTAACGTTTTTGAAAAGAACATTCCTACCAGCAAAATTATAGTTCCTTATTTACATATCTATCTGATTATATAAAACGCTAATACGTACGTATGTATGTATCAATAAAACCGATGATATTTCTTTTCTCGCGCTGGCAACAGTTTCCATTTTTAATTGATTGGATTCGGCGCGCAAGAGCACGTAGTGAGCAACCAGATAACAATAACCAGAGTGAGCATTATCAGGTTGTTCAATTCAGATTCATGCACTAAAAACATGACAATATTTAATTTAAACTCAATTAGGAATTAATTAATTAATTGAAGTGAGAATGCTTTAAAAGGCCGCTGTTGAATTGATATTTTTCTACTGGGAGCTACCTAAACGTCTAAAAAACGTTTAAGTGTTTGTATTGAATGCATTGAATTTTTTTATATTTCGCGTTTATTTATGCATTGAATTTTCACGCTTTAAAATGCAGAATATTAGTGAAGCAATATTTGATAATTTATTTTGCTAATATGTTTCTTATTTAGCTAATGTTTTGATTTTTTCACCATGTACAATCTAAATAGCTAATATACTTTTTTAAAAGCCAATAAGAACATTGGTAGAATTCTTCTACATAAGTACAATACTATGTCTTTGATGATAAAATACTATGTCTTTGATGATAATATATTATGTCTTTGTGCTAGAACATTGTGTTCATTGGCGAGCGAGCGCAGCGAGCCATGGTTCACGGCGTGAACCACATAGGATTGCGTAGCAATTCTCGGGGGTTGGCGAGCGTTAGAGAGCAGGGGGCGGCCCCTCCTAGTTTTTTATTAAATGTTATAAAATAAGGAGTAACACATACTACAGTGATCCTAGTATAGTGTAACAGTGATCGTAGTGAATTTTAAATTATAAGAAAGGGATAGCAAATTTTCTTAGTAACACCAAACGAAGGTTTCAAGATATCCTTTTAATACGTAGCCTGCGCGATTGTGAGGGTTAGATATTTACCCCATACCTTAAAATTGTAAATATAGTCATTTTATAGTCATTTAAGCTGAGACAAATGTTTCTTCTCTAAAATCTACTATTTAAATATTAAAAGTATTCATTATAAACAGAAAATCACATTCCGTTCACTTTTGAACAGCGATCGGACGGGTTCGAAGAAATCGAATGGAAGAAGCACGTTTCAGTTGCATAAGTTCTGGTTTCGATATCGTTTCAACCGTAATTTGGCGTAAAACAGAATTTGTTGGCAGATATTTCTTCTCTATTCTAGAGCAATATCGCCAGCTTTTATTTCAGGGCTTCCTCGATAATGTATCAGCATTTCCATTTAAAGTACCCTTGTGATAACGAATCTCGAAGTCGTAATCCTGGATTCGTTGTATTCTGGCTTCCTGACCCTCCATATTCTTAGAATAGAAAAGCCAGGTTTAAAAGGCCTGATTAATCCGGAGCTAGAATTTTCTTCCAGAGAGATAATAATGGAAATGTTTTATGGCTTTAAGAATAGCGAGCAGTTCTTTTCTAGTTGTACAATAATTTTGCTCCTGTTTTGATAGACATTTACTCCAATAAGAAAAGTTTTTGACCCCTTATTTCCTGCGACAGGACAGCTCCAACACCTTTTCATTGCCAATATCAGTATCCAAAATAAAAGGAATGCCGGGCTGGAGATATGCAAGTAAAGGTGAAGATGTTAAAGCCTTTTTCAATTCTTTAAAAGAATTTTTACAAACTTCTGTCCATATGAAGTTTTGATTAACCTCTGTAAACGTGTGAAGTGGTCCCGCAATCATTCAGAAGTCCTTAACATTTTTTCTGTAGTAAGTGCAAAGCTTAAGAAAACTTCGCAGTTGATGGACATCTACAGGGCAACTGCACAAATCTTTTCAGGATCCGTTCTTACACATTCTACAAGGATAATGTTCCCAAGATTGGTAACTTATATTTTTAGGGGTTCAACTTACGATATGCCATTCTCAATTTCTCCAGCATCTTTCGGATGTTCTTTAAATGTACGTTCTACGATGATTATATCGTCCAAGTAAACAACACAGGATTCGTAAGAGAGTTTTCTTAGTTCCGTCTCCATAATGTGCTCAAATGTTACAAGTGCATTACAAATTATTACCTTGAACTTTCAAAGTGCTGCGGTTATGGCAGTCTTTTTTCCATCATCAGGACGTATCTTGACTTGGCAATAATTACTTTTAAGGTCCAAAGTCGAGAAGCATTTATTCCCGAGTAGGAGGTCAAATGTGTCATCAATCCTGTAAAGAGAGTAGCTATCTTTCTTTATAATATCATTCAGTGGACGATAGCCGACACAAAATCGTGTTGAGCCATCTTTTTTCTTGACTAGGACCATAGGAGAAGCCCAAGGACTCATCGATGGTTCAGTAACATCGTTCTGTTTCTTTTCGTTTAGAAATTTAACCACCTCTTCCTGTTTACCAAATGTTAATCTCCGAGGACGTTGTCTCATTGGAGTATGATTTTCAGTGCGTTATTTTTGTACGTTCGGCATCTTCTTGTGTTCTGGAAAAGAGGTCTTTAAATTCCTCTTTTGTCAACAGTCATTCTGCTGCATTCTTGTGTCCATCATTTTACTCTGCAATCTGAAGAAGTTCACTCATGAAAGTCCCAGAAGACTCGTTTCGCGTTGTATGATAGCTTCGGTTAATACATGTCACCGAAGCACAAGCAGCCAACACTTCACCTTTCCTTAGAATTTTTATTTTATCACTTACATTAGCAAGTCTCACAGGTATTTCCTTCCTGGTAAGATCGACAAGTGAAGAAGCCATCAGTACTCTTTTAAAGCTGTTGTCCAAATCTAGATATTCCTTTTGGCCATATCGAAATATATTACGTTCACAAAGGATTCTCGAAACTATTACCTCAGTTCTTGGTAAAATTGTAGCTCCGTTCTTTACTTTTACTTGATAGGCCTGTTTAATCTCTGGATTTCACGTCTTGAACTCAGCGATGTCTTCTGAACTTAGTACAACTTGTTGTTTTTGAATTTCAATTTAAAGTTACTTCCTTGTAAGAAGTCTAATCCAAGAATGAATTCATGACTAATAACAGTCACATATGACTCATGATGGTCACTGGCATCGTCAAATCTAATCTTAAGGAGGACTTTTTCGTGAAAATTGATTTTGTCACCAGTCACAGTCTGTAGTGTAACGCGAAAGGGAGTCCAGATTAATTTTTCACTTAAATTCTGATCCAAATCTGTTCTGATAACAACGTCGACTCCAGTATCAATTATCATACTGCATGGAACTCCATTGACATGCCTTATAACGAAAAGTCAACTGTCGCAGCTACTCAGTGAAGAAATCTGTAACACTTTGACTTGGGGCTTTATAATTTCTAGATATCTACTCCCCACGAGATTGCCACAAATTAGTTTTTCTGCTGCAGTGGTGTGTCACCTCCACCATCCTAAAGTATCGGGCAGATACGTATATACCCTTCCTTAACACTCCAATATTGAATTTCTTTATCTTGTAGATATTAATCCTTCCAAGTATATGTTATGAGATAGCGCTACGATCGTACATCCTAACTTCTACTTTAACTTAGTATAAAAACAACTACTTCTACTTTTTTCTCAGGTTTTGTTCAAATCGATTCAACCGAAATTTTGCAGCCTCTTTGCAACCAATAACAGTCCTTTATAAATGTGTCATATTTACCCAATATTTTGTATCCATTTAGCCAATATAAGCCCCATATATGTTCTTCTAGGATCAATATTAGAAATTCTAGACATTCCACTATTGGTCCCTCGGTATATGTTTCATATCAAGACAATTTTGAACCCAACTAGGTGCCAAGGTAAAACAGTTGCTAGGGGCTACCAGAGATTCGCAGACCAGAACAATATTGCAGTCACAAGCAGACTTTTACATATATTTCAAATTTGTAAAAGTACTAAGCAAGATTTACTTCTTTCGGTAAAACATATAAATATATTATGGTTCCTTGGAATAACGTTTAATGTTCATTGTTGTAATGTTAATCATTTGAAAAATAATGGACGCACGTATGCTTTTTTTTCAGATACAGATCTATGTAGAAATATTGATTGCAAAAATGGTGGAAAGTGCATTAACGGCAAGAGTGGTGCTACATGTCTATGCCGATTTCCTTACACGGGAGAATTTTGTGAAATAGGTAAATATATGAATCTCTTGTCATTTATGCAGATAGGATTTAAACTGAATGTAAGAGTTACCCCATGCCCTTTATAGGTTTGGAAATGTGGTTACAAAAAAATGACAGTCTCAATTTTAAAATGACTAATATGTAAAGAGAATGCATCAGTAACAAAACTCTGACCAAAAAACGTTAAAGTGACATTATTAAAAAGAAAATTGCTATTAGCAAACAAATTTTTTCCCTATGTTTAGATGGGGAATGACCTACGTCATACAGGGATCTAAAGGGTAAATTTGTTGGCCACATTTTCAGGGGCACCATGTTAATTGAGCCAATGCTGTTTCTACAGTAAGGACAGATAGTACAGAGAATGAGAAATATCCATGCCTTGCCCGGGATTCTAACCCAAAACCTTTTAGATGCAAAACGAGTTCTCTGACCCCTACAAAGGCCGGTTGGTATTAGCGAAAAACTATATTTGCTTATTTACACACCTTTTATTAAATGTAACTATAACCGGTTAAAATCCTACTACATATAACAGTGTTTGTAGGGTTTTTTAAATAGTTAAAAAGGGATGCCAATTTTCTTTATAACAACAAACGAAGGTTTTAAAACACCCTTTTAAGACGGAGCCTACACGATCCTTAGGGTCAGATATTTACCCCATATGTTCAGATTGTAAATTTATTCATTTTAAAACAAGTTTAAACAGGGATAATAGTTTTTTTCGGCAAAATCTACAATTTTAAAATGAAAAGTAACCATTATAATTACATCTTCAATTTAATTAGGTATTCCAATTTGTACGGATTATCTTTCCAGAAACTTAAAACGCAACTGGAAACAAGTATCTGGATAGATTTCGAAAGAATAGTTTGATGTAAAAATTTTTAAAAATATTCCTTCGTAAAAATACGTTACTCGCTCCTATTTTTTGAAAATTTTTTTTTTTTAAATATTTACCTATTTAACATCGAAAAAATGTATAAAAGAAAAATAAGGTTCATTCTAATAAAGGTTTATTATAATATCTGGGACCGGGATTGCACAGTTGGCAGGGCTCTGGCCTCACGTTCGTGAGAATGGAATTTTGAATCTAGCCATCCGAAGATTCCCCGTGTAGTAAATGGTGACTGGTGCACTTTGAATTTGTCGGTCAGAGTCTTCCATGTTCCCATAACAATTTATACGATTGGGGAGACTGATCTTTCTCTGGTTCAGGTCAAAATTGTGATCAATGGATGAATGAATGGATATGTGAATGAGTACACCCTGTAAAACAGGTGACACACATCGTAGTGACGGAAGTCGAATTCTTGGCTATAAGATGGCGCCACTGGAAAACAAGAGTTATCGCATCCCCTCTGACTCAATGGCTGACGGCAACAACAACGTGACTTTTCTTTTCTTTAAAGAAAAAAGTAAGTTTTTCTCCTCTTTCCGTCTTACATGTGAATATGTTATGATATTCCTCCTTGGTATAAGCTTCAATGCTTATTTTTATAATGTAAAGAATTTTGAAAAAAATAAATGTTACAATGTTATTTTTTCAGATCCGTGTGAAATAATTTCTTGTAGAAATGGAGGAATGTGCGTTATCGGTGTAAATGGTGCTCAATGCTTATGCCCTTTCCCGTATGAGGGGAATTTTTGTGAAATAGGTAAATATTGTCGTTTTTATCACAATAATAAGGTTCTAATTTAATTCTAGAACTCTTTCAGCTTTTATTAATTTTAAATACGAAATAATAAAAGGAAAAAAATAGCTTGATCGTTTATATATTTAAAACCAACTTTATTAGCTATTCTTTACGTCATAATGGCAACGATGTTATCTAATTTTTTTTCTTTCAAAAAATATGTACAAGGAGTGATCAAATGAAAAGGTACGAAATGACGTAAAAATGTAACAGTTAAATATTTGCATATTCCGCCATGGGAGAACGTAGCGAGACATCTCGAGAAGCGATTGGAGTCTCTGTCTAGGATCGGAGCATGCGCAGGAGCCCGCATGCACAGGAGAGAGCAGAGGCTCTTGTCAAAAGCGGCGTCCAAATGATGCGGCAGTCCGTATGAGGAACAGAAACTCGAGCACAGAAAAGCCATTAACTCCTATGTGTACTGTGAGACACTCCGACGCCTACGCAGGCCCATCAAGAACAAAAGACCAGGGCTGCTCACGGAGGGTGGGGTTCTGCTCCATGATAAGGCGCGTCTAAACGTCTCCAGAGTCACACACATGGAACTGGCCAAGTTCAAATGGGAGACGTTGGACCTTCCACCCTACAGTCCGGACATGTCGCCCTGCGATTTCCATGTGTTTGGTTCACTGAAGAAACACCTGAAAGGGAAGCGCTTCAACTCGGACGACGTACTCAAGGATGCTTTGACGGACTGGGTCCCGTCACGGTCACAGGAATTTTGGGAACAAGGAATCCTGCAACTTGTTCATCAGTGGGATCGTTGTGCTCAGGTCTATGGTGTATATTTTGAATAAAGTCAACATTTGTACCCCCCGCGTCGTTTCGTATCTTTTCATTTGATCACCCCTGGTATTAAGCAAGATTTATTTACTTCCGTTTTACATATGGATATATTAGTTTAATTGGAATTAGGATGAATGTTCATTGTTACAATATAAATTAATTTGAAAGTAATGAAGTTTTTTTTTAGATTCAGATTTATGCAGAAATATGACTTGCAGGAATGGCGGAAAGTGTATAAATAATAAAAATAGTGCTCAATGTTTATGCCGTTTTCCTTATGAGGGAAACTTTTGTGAAATAGGTAAATATATGATTTCGTTTTAATTCAAATACTTAGGTTTTTAGCAGAATGTTGAATTCCCTTTTTACTTTAGAGGTGTGAAAATGTAGTAACAAAACAAAAACATTTGATCGTTTATGTATTTTAGATCATCACTTCATGTTAATCTGCAAAGTAAATATATTACTCACTTAAAATGAAAGAGTTATAATAACTATACTTGAGTAAAATTTCACTCGTTTGTCTGGAAAATAGAGCCTTCTCAGTTAAATTCTTCTTGAGTTAAATTCAAAGAGTCAACTGAAATAACTCAAGTTTAAGCGCATAATTTTAAATCGAATTTGAGTGAAATTCACTCGTTTTTGATTAACTATCGGCATCACTTAATTAGATCGTTTTAACTCAAACTTGAGAGATTTTCAATCATTTTTGATAGACTATCCACATAATTTGAGTACAAGAATTTAATGAATATAAATTATTTTTGAATTTGAGTGAATATAAATTATTTTTGATTCATATTTAGCATCCTTTGAGTGAATTTATTTCAACATACTAGAGTTATTTCCTACCAGTTTTTATCTTTACTTGAATGTCATTTAAATCACATTTAAATTAAATTAATCCTTTTCAGTCTATTCATTGAATATTTTAATGCCTATCAGAAAAAATAAAAATATTTCAGCATGCGTAACAGATATAATTTATCAGCATTTACTTATTTTTAAATTTTATAGATGGCATGGTATGTTCGGTAGTTAATAAGCTTCTTTTTTTTTAATTTTAAAACTAAACTGCGACATTCAGGAAGTAAAGTGAATTAGTAATTTATCTGTATTTGACAATTAATATACTGAATATAATCGCAAGATAATACTTTTAAGATTTTTAAGGCTCTGTGTCTGACTTAGTTACAAACTCTTAGGGATTTTCAATTTTTTGTAATGAAACAATTTTTTTTATTTTTTTACTAACAGTTCAGATAATTTTTTTATTTTATATAGGTATGCAAGTAGTAATTAAAGAGACTTCATTTGTAAGTTAAATCTAGTTCTCGGAAACATAACTTTGATAATTCTTCTACATTCCATTTTATTTGGATCTAAATTTTCTTGCTAATACTTTATTTATAAAAGGTCTGCTAATATATAATTAATAAAAAAAATTCAGATGTTGGTGAAAGGCAAGAGCATAACATTTTTTTAACAGGGTACCCAATCATTGTCAGAAAAAGAAATCCACTGACTTTTCAAGGTATTCCAGGTAAATTTCAGTTAAAATCAAGACCATATTTAATCTATTTAATTTTAGACATACTTTTTGTATAATATAACACCATTTATAGTTTTAGAATGCCACTGTTGGTAAACCGTGGAAGTTAAATTATCGAATCCTGAAGAAATATTAAAGTTATTACTTACATTCTTATACATCTGAAACGCGTTGATTCGATTTCTTCGAACATATTCGATCGCTATTCAAAAGTAACCACTAATTTAATTCAGCTGTGACATTAGATCACTATCAATGTAAAAAAGTTTCCCGCCAAAGAACCTTACCTTTCTCTGCAGGTCATGCGTGCTGTATTTTTCCCGAGCCAAGGAAAAACTTCATACGCGTTTTCACAACTATGGACAAGGGGAGAATTTTTAACTATGACTTTCAAATTTGCTCCCCTAGTTTTATCATATATTTGTGTGTCTGTAATCATCTGAAATATTACTTAAATTCTTTAAATATTTCCAAGTTTTAAAAACATTTTAAACAAAATAGTTTCTCAAAATAAAATTGATAATATTTGTTTGATTTAGGGTCCTGCAGTGGACTGATCGCAAAAACACGGTATCCAGTAGAACACCGAAGACAAGCACTACTGGCTGCGGTCAATAAGCGGGTGAGTGACCATCATGATCAGCCAGCATAGGAACCGAGGGTCATATCGGTCCTCGTTAGACTATTCTACCATAAAGTGCTCTACTTTCCATCCATGTCGTCGAGCTGACAAAGCAGGGGAGCCGTTCCCTCTGCAGAGGATCAAAATTGTGATGGCATGTCTTTTGATCATCCTCAGGGATGCTTCTCCGACTGTCGCCAATTGTCCACAGTCCTCTAGTGTGACGTAAACAAAGTACCTCCCTACCTCGGTCGAATTAGAAAAGATAATTTAAACAATTTGGATTCCAATCCCGAAATTACTTAATAAATGCAAATAGCTAATTTAATTTAAGAAATAATTGCATCGCTTATTTAAAGATAGTATACCACTGTTGAATCAGTGTATTATTTACATAAAATAACCTAGGAGTGCTCGTAACATGTAACCAAGTTTTTATCTTCCTATTTCCCTGATTCCCCTTCATCACCGCTATTTAACGGAGAGTATTTACTTTGTGATTGGTCAGAAATAGTTCAATCGAACTTATCTTTCGAAGTCCAGCTATCGTGATGTCACGTGAACGAAAAACGGTACAGTTGTGAGTCAGGAAACGGTCAATTTTGCTGAAAAATCGAGTGGAAACTACAAGTTCAATTGAATTTTGTTTCAGTTGCATAAGGCTGTTATACCACGAATCTCTTACGAAGCATACGAGAAGGCTTTTTTTCTCTCATTAATATACAGGATTAGGGGCAATGTAATAAAAGCCACATTTTCACTAAAATCAAACAAATATATTTTGTTAAAAACAAGCATGATTTTTGACAACATGAAGTTAGAATAAATGTTCCATTGTTATCATTTCAGATCCGTGTGAAAACGTTTCTTGTGGAAATGGCGGAAATTGCGTTATAGGTACAAATGGAGCTCAATGTTTATGCAGTTATCCATATGCGGGAAAATTTTGTGAAACAGGTAAATATATGAACAATTAGGAATTAATTGTTATAAATTATTATAAATATTAAAGTTTTAATTAAACAATTAAGAATTTGCAAAGTTTGCACAGTCCAAATGGGCGTAGAAAGTCCAAAACGTCTCTTTTTTCCAATACCAGTATAATTAAAAACGCATTCTAATTTAGGAATAGCAATCCTATAGATTTATTTAAAACTTGTTCATATCAAAATTAAAATTTAGTTGATCATGAAACCATCACGGAGAAAATAGCTAAAAGCTTCAAACATGATCTTTCAAATTGTTCCAGAAATTTGCCATGAACCATCTTCCAAAGCATTTGATCTTAAGAGAAAGATCCTTTGCAAAGAGCTAAAATAGAAGTGAATGCGTAATTTTGTCCAACCCCTGTATATATATATATGTCAAAGCTGCTTTCATATATGTATACATATATATNTACATATATATATATATATATGAATGCAGCTTCAAGAATTCGAACCAGAAATTCTAACTTCAGAATTCGAATTGTTCAAAAATTAAAATAAATTAATAAAATAAATTATTTATCTAAAAAATATTTATCTCTTATTAACGGTATTTTTTTTTATTCTGTAGCACATTCTTATACGTTATTACTGCTAATATTATTCTTAGTATTAGCAATATTTTGAATGGACTTAACACACTAGCAGCAATATTAAGAATTATCGTTCTTAATATTAGCAAGATTAAGAATAGACTTATTGCTGAAATAAAACCTACACACATTCACCTCTTACGCAAAAAATATTTAACGAGTTTTTTTCTTTCTTTTTGCTTAAAAATCCCAGAATTTTCTAAGAAGTTTAATATATAATAATAGGGATGAAATTGATATGGTAACCAGCGAAAATAGATGGATTTACATTTTCTACTAATAAAATCGGAAATAAAACGGGTCGTACCCTGTATCAATTTTGTCTTAATACAAAACACTATTTTTGAATCTTTTAGTTAAATTTTGATTTGAATGTAACTATCTTTACAAAGACACAAAAATGATTGTAAAGCAATTGTGGGAAACAGGGTGTGGGGCCTCCTAGTAAGTACTACTAAACTCAGTGGCGCGACAGCCCATAGAGGGCCAAGGCCTACTGTGCCAATCTCAGTTTTCTTGATCTTGGGCTCTGGGGTGCAGGAGCACATGTTCTGGTCAGGTGGTCAGCCGAACGCGGAACCCCCAGTGTTTAGTTCCCAAGCATGCTTGGTCCTTATTTATCGACCAACTGAAGGGATGAAAGGCTGAGTCAACCTTGCCCGGCCCGAGGATCGAACCAGGGACCTGTGGCACGACAGCGCGAAGCGCTACCGTTCAGCCACCGGGCGACGCTAGTAAGTACATAATCATTAATTAATAATATATATTTACTTCAAATTCTTAAATCTTTGAAAATTCTGTTTTTTTCACTCATCCTAAAAATTTTTATTACCAACAATAAAGAAAAATTACTTGAAATATACGAATTAAAAAGAATTCGCAAGATAAAATCTTTTGCTCCTTCTCTAACTTTTGGTCTGGAAGGTTAAAGCTAGTTCAGATATAGTTTTTAGCCACTTTTATACAATTTGATTGAAATACAGTTTAAGGGGCTTGAAACTCGACCTGTTCAGTAGTTGAAGCTGATATAACGAAATTTGATAGTTTATGAATGCTAGTTCAGAAATAGTTCTTTCGACAATTTGATTGAAGTACAGTTTAAATGTCTTGAAACTCGACCTGTTTAGTAGTTGAAGTGTATACGTTGTTTCTAAATCTTTAGATACGAGAGATGGTAGGATTTGAGTTACTCTTCTTTTAGGGTTATTTTCAGGATTAGTTGCTGTATAACGTATTCAAAAAATAGCCAAGACCCATTTTCAAGGGTCGCCTGTGGGTGTAGATGCTGATTTAATGATGAAGTTCTCGAAATTCCATTTTATTCTTAAAATTAATATCAATTAAAATTTTGTATTTATATTATCAAAATTTTTTATGCCTTATTAATTTAATCTTCATTACAACATAACATTTTGTATTCATTTGAAATAACAATGAGCAATAAAAAAGTTGTGAAAATAACTTTAAGATTCTTCTAAACATCTTTAAATTTGTAAGAAAATAGACGTTGATTTGGAGTTAACATTTCGAATAATATGCCTTCCCTTTACTTATAAAAGTATGTTTCATATTGCATTTAAATTTTGAATATTGTTCTATTTATTTCAGAAGTGATTCCTGAAAATTCATCGACTGATGCTTCTACTCTATCAACTGATACTTCTAATCCATCAACTGATGCTTTTACTCCATAAACTGATGCTTCCACTCCATCGACTGATGCTTCTACTCCATCAACTTATGCTTCTACTCTATCAACTGGTTTTTCTACTCCGTCAACTGATGCTTCAACTCCGTCAACAGATGCTTCAACTCCATCGAATGATGCTTCTACTCCATCGACTGATACTTCTACTCCATCGACTGATGCTTCTACTCCATCAACTGAATAAATCGTCACAAAAGTTCTCAACACAACCTTTTTCTGAACCTTTAATATCACAAATGATTATGATTATATTACCTGACCTCTTAATTACACTTTAACTATAAACCAAACATCAGTTACTTTCCTTACTTTCACAAATGATTTTAGTGAAGCAACTTCTGAATCTTCACGAAAGATTGAGATTGGAATGGAGAACCTTTGATCTATACCTTGATTGCAAACCAAACATTAGATAATTTCACAAATGATTTCAGTGAAGTAAAGTATCTGATATCACTAATGGTTATAACTAGAGGAAGAAGCTTCAATAAACCAATCTTCCGATTGACCGTATGATTTTTTGAAAAGCGCAATTGTTTTTTTTTAATTAGCTAAAGAATATAATACGTTTAATAAATTCTATTCTTTGTAGCACTTTGAAACCTGTTTTGCTAATGTCATTTTAAGCATAAATAAGTTTTCTGTTGAACACTTTGACTGGCATATAATTTTGAGCCCTTTTATTTTAACGAAGAAAATGTTTGAAAAAGCAATGTTCTTTTTTTCACATTGACAGCGAGATAGAAGATTTGTACGATTTCTACAAATTAATGGCAGAAATATTTTAATTTACTTATTCATAGTTTAAATATTGTGTGAAACATCACGTAATATTGGTGTAATGTTTAAAAAAAGTCATGAAATAAAATCGGCTACTTTTGAAATTTGTATTTATTTCACCACGATTGAGAAAAAGTTTCCTCGAAAAATCGCAAGGATCGTTGTATATGGTCACTGTACTGATGTGAAAATATTAATGAGTGCGACCGCAGCATCATTTTAAAACATAAAAAAGTGGTAACTAGAAAATGACATTTTTTTGAAATAGTATTATTGATTAAAACGAGTTATTTTGTCAACAAGCAATTATACATTTATGTAGGTTACAGTTGCGTATGGATGCGAATTAGATTTAGTTCCAATCCTAAAAGCTTCATTATTGGCATGAACTCTTCCCCCACTAGTTGCCACATTCACAATAAACCCTACCTCTTAGCTCGTCTATCTATGTTCATTATTAGCATCATAATCTCTTCACATTCTAGTTGTCCCATTCACATAACGTTCAATAAACCCTACCTCCATAGCCTACCTAAGTGGTTTCATCTCTTCTCCTTACATCACCATGAAATGACGACTCTTCTTTTTAGCTGTTTACCTTCAGGTATTCAGCCCCGGCAAACTCCAGTATTTTTCTACTTGAGTGCAAACCTCCAAGCACAGCCAACATCATTTCGAGGGTGTGCTTTTGTTTTCTCTAAGGTTTTCTCGTGCTGACATTTTTAAAAAGTGGGAGTAATTAATCTAATTCTTCAAGTTTTACTGTTGTATTAGCTAAAAATGTATCGAAACTTTCGCCGAAAGCGGAGCTATATGCTTAGACTTTTGTTCTGGTTACTCAGTACCAGTCTTGGTGGGCTCTCACTCATGCATTGGATCTGACATGACTCAAAGAGATAAAATTATGAATGGCTTGCGAGCCATCCAACTACTACGGGTTTCGCTGAGCAGTTGATATTTAAAATCAAAACTTTCAGATTTCTTGCTAGTATTGCTAATATTTTAAAAGCCTCATCACGAAGGAGTCAAACTAGAGTAGATATAAGATGATGCGGAGTACCTGGCCGTGAAGCGGGCATCTCACCCCTTCTTCTGCTAAGTTGGCACTCTGGCGACTCTGACTTTTGGCTTTGTGATGAAAATGTGAATTCACACTAAGAAGTGCTTGTCTTGTGGAGGTGGTGACTGGATTGTAGTCTCGTTCCTGCTAATCTTTGTAGGATCCAGGGAGAAGAGATTGTAGAAGTTTGACTAGGTCCTCGCTCAGAGGAAGTTCCTGTATTTCCTTAAAAATATGCAGTTGTCTGGTCGCTTGGCTGGTAGCATTCATTGTCTCATTTTCTGGAGTTCTCTGAAACCAGTGTAGCATGCTGGGTGGTCGCCTTTGTAGTTAATTCAAGTCGGCGGTGAGTCTCTGGGTTTCATACATTCGTATGTATGTATGAAACTTCATGCAAGTAGGTTCTGCAGTACATGATCGTTGCGTGTGTCCAAACTTTTGACAGCGATAGCATTGGATTTGAAATCTGCCTCCTCTTAAACGTTGAATCTTTACTGGGATGTCCATGATCTGGGAGATGTTTTATATTTCTCAATAAGAGTCATTATGTGATAGGATAATAAGAAAAAGCTGGAGGAGCCTAAGCAGTGATCTTAATAAAATTATTATATTATTTAATTATAGTTTTATTTTTATTATTTAAGCGAATTCAATACCGTTAATGGTACCTTTTTGAGCCTCATAATGACACATACTGTTCTTGACAATCACAGCTAGACACCACCTCCTCTAAACGGCCTATCTGCCCTATGAGTGGTATAGTTGGGGACGCTAATTTTCTTTTATTTGCTTAGATGTGTTTCGGTAATTAACATCACATCTGGATCATTTCTGTTAATGAAATCTTTTAACTCATCCATTTTTCGTAGAACGCCATTTGCATTCCAGTTAAAAATTGAAATGTGATGAATTTTTTTAATTTTAACGTTCATTATTTTTGCTAAGGTTTTTACAGCTTTTAAGCATATCTAAGATGCCAGAATTTTTTAGTTCTCCTAGGAGATCTTTTAGTTCACTAATCATGTCTTTTGCGTCATAAACTAATACAATTTTAATTTGTGATTTTTGATGTTGTATTGAGGAGATGACTAATTTATTTTAGAAGAACTAGTGAATGACAATGGAAAGAAAAACATAGTAACCTGCCTTTAACGTCAAAGGACTCACTATCATTGCCAGAGCTTTTAATACGTTACCTACTTACGATATTTTGTAGTATCTTTTTTCGATGGTAGTACTAAATAGGTTAGTTGTTGAAATTGTTCTGAATTTTCAAAAGATTTCAACAGTTTTAACTTTGTCTACTTTATATATTTGAAAATTACATTTTATTCGTGTTGCTTGCAGTTTAACTTAAGTTCATCTTTACCAAAGGCAAGGTGTTAGTACTGCGGATTAAATGATAGAAGGGAAAGCAGGCGTTACTGTTTAATGTGTGTTTATTTTTCATGTTTTATTGTTCCTGTTGTTTTTCTTTAATGCCCCCTCTACAGCCATTCGCCAATTATTGATTTTTTATAGATACAGTGAAATGGGTTCGCTGTTTTATTTCGTAAATTCTACTTATTTCTGTGCGATTATTCTTATATTTTTATTTGATTGTTTTATTACTTAGTTCACTGGCTGATTATAAGGGAGGTCTCGTCGGCAAATTGCATTATAAGGCGGACCTTTCGGAGCATATATTGTATTCTTGCTGTTGCCATCAGCTTTATTTGTTTGTAATGTTTGGTTTTAATAAATGCCACGGATGTGGCCTGGCCGATCTGGTAGGTCGGCTGGGCGCATGTGCAGGCTGTCGAATCGCGGCCCCCTCTGCTGGGCTGTCGCGGCGGCGGGTCATACCCTCCGAGTGCCCAAATTTGGGTGGGTCGGAACATATCACTTCTTAATATTTTGAACTCACAATGCTAATATTACAATATTAAAGAAATCAGAAGCTAAACTAAAGAATTTTAAATGCGAGCAAAGCAATTTTTTTTGTTTAAATAGTCCATATCACCTAGAACTTATTTTACAAATAAAAAATAAAAAAAATGATCCAAGTGAAAAAACAATTTTTTTAGTTCTTTGCTTTGTCTTTTCTTTTTCTTTTTTTGGTTCTCTATGACTTAGCTTTATTGTAAGAGCTAATGAAATGCTTTTGCCTGTAAGGAGCAACCGAGATTTCAGGATGTAAAAAGATGTTCGTTGAGATATTTTTCCCTACAAATCCAGGCATGTTCATCAAGGTAATTCTGCCGTTTTCTTTTTCTAGATATACCAAACTTGATCCTAAGTTCCACAGTAAGTCAAAAATTTCATAGTCCTTATTCCCCAAGAGCTGAATGAACTGATTCAAAAATGCAATTTAATTCCAAGAGTTTTATTATAAATTTTATAACCGCCGTTGAACAGATGACCCAATTTTGGTTTTACGACTACTAATGTCCGCTGCCTTGTAATTTTGAACCCAGTCTAGAAGACAAAGGAACTCCTGGATCAAGTAAAGGATGAAATTTTGCTTTTGCTGTCGACTTTTTGATGGAACTAAGCCGCATTTGAGTTACAGTGAGAGGGAGACCACGTTAACCCCCCACGGTTAGCCTGCCGGCAAAAGGACTCTAACCCAGGATTCGTCTTCCACTGAGGAATTTTCACGTCAGCACTGTGGTTGGTGCAAGCCTTATGTGGATTCGTATAGACCAGCAATTGGTGGGATTCAAACCTGGTTCACCTCATTGGAAGGAGAAGGACCTATCCTATCCCCTGAGTCACCGCGGCTCAATTCCAAGAATTTTATTACCCTCGTTGAAGAGCTGATAGACTTTTTTGGGTTCACAATTAAAAATGTTCAACTCCCTTACCTTGCAATTTTACCTTTGTGGAAGATTTTTTGATGGAACAAACCCGCACTTGCGTTATATGGGTAGGAAAACCATGAAAAGCTCCCACCATTCGCCCGACAGCAAGAAGATTGTAACCCATGATCAGTCTACTAGTGAGGATATTTTACCTCTGCACTGCGGTCGGTGCAAGACGTGGGCAGAATTTGTATCAATCAGCATTCGCTGAGATTCGAACCCGGTTCACCTCATCGGAAGGCAAATGCTCTTTCCTCTGAGCCATCACTGCTCAAACGATATTTTAAGTCACTAGTCATTCTGTAGAGCTTGGAACATGTCGAATATTATTCACAATTTGTATATTTCTGAAGAGAATGAAGTTTTTAACCAGGTAATATTTTACTGCTTCAGTTTCTTAGGATTATTTATTTATTTGACAAATATGTTTTAATATTTTGCCAAATTTTACAAACAGCATGGGGACTAGTTAAATGTGTTTTATTTTAATATGTAGTTATGGCACAAAATTGCTCTAAATTAGTTTTTATAATTCAGAAATTAAATTAAAATTATCAATTTCATTTGTCACTTTTGGAATTGGCGAATCAGCAACCCTTGAACTGTATTTTGTTTTTTTAAGAATAATTTCGTCATGAAATTACGTGGTTTGTAACGAGACGCTAACTCTCAACTTGGAACCTTATTGTATTGCAGTGGGTGAGATAGTTGCCAACTGTTCCGATTGGGTGAAAAGATTTTATTTTGATGCGAAGAATTAAAATTAATTCCTAATTAATTTTGTTTATTTTCGCCCATGCTTTAAAAGATTCACTAAATTATTCCCTTCACTTCAGATTTCAAATGGATCTGGATACCTGACCCAAACATGTCTTTCTTCCTCATTTATCTTGTCATTAACACGTTGAGCGTCGCGTCAGCCATCGGTGGCTGACACTGAAAATGCATTTAGCCGCGTCAACCACCAGTGGTTTACATTGAAATTACATTTAGGCAGCGTCAACCACCGGTGGTTGACACTGAAATTACATTTAGGCCGCGTCAACCACCGGTGATTGACACTGAAATTACATTTCGGCCGCGTCAACTACCGGTGGCTGAT